GATACAACACAAAAGGCATGATCCATGAAAAAAACTGACAAGCTGGACTTCATTAAAAAAACAAACGAACAAAAACCTCTTGCTATTTGAAAGACATTTTTAATACAATGAGAAAACAAGCTGTGGACTGGGAGAAACTTTTAGCAAGAGATCGATCTCATAAAGGACTGTTATCCAAAATATACAAAGAGCTCTTAAAACTCAGTAATAGGAAAACAACCCGATTAAAAAACAGGAAAGGGATCGGAACACACGTCTCACCAAAGAAGGCACACAGACGGTGTGATGGTTGATATTAGGTGTCAATTTGATTGGACTGAAGGAAGGAAGCCTAGGTAGCTGATAAAGGATTATTTCTGGGTGTGTCTGTGAGGGTGTTGCCAGGGGAGACTGACATTTGAGTCAGTGGACTGGGAGAGGAAGACCCACTCTCAGTGTGGGTGGGCATCGTCTAGTTGGCTGCCAGTGTGGCTAAAACAAAACAGGCAGGAGGTGGGAGAGGCCGGCTTGCGGAGTCTTCTGCTTTCATCTTTCTCCTGGGTTGGATGCTTCCTCTTCTTGGTCCTTGGACATTGGACTCCAGGTTTGGCCTTTGAACTTTTTTTTTTTTTTTGAGATGGAGTCTCCCTCTGTTGTCCTGGCTGGAGTGCAGTGGCTCGATCTCGGCTCACTGCAACCTCCACCTCCTGGGTTCAAGCGATTCTCTTGCCTCAGCCTCCCAAGTAGCTGGGATTACAGGCGCCCACCACCAAGCCCAACTAAGTTTTGTATTTTTAGTAGAGACAGGGTTTCACTGTGTTGGCCAGGTTGGTCTCAAACTCCTGACCTCATGATCCACCTGCCTCAGCCTCCCAAAGTGCTGTGTACACGTGTGAGCTACTGTGCCTGGCCTTGGCCTTTGGACTCTTGAACTTCCACCAGTGGTTTGCTGGGGACTCTTGGGCCTTTCGTCATAGGCTGAAGGCTGTGCTGTTGGCTCCCCTACGTTTGGGGCTTTTGGACTTGGACTGAGACATTGATGGCTTCTTCCTTCCTGAGCTTGCAGAGAGCCTAGGGTGGGACTTCACCTGGTGATTGTGTGAGCCAGTTCTTCCTAATAAACTCCCTTTCGGCTGGGCACGGTGGCTCACGCCTGTAATCCCAGCACTTTGGGAGGCCGAGGTGGGTGGATCGTGAGGTCAAGGGTTCGAGACCAGCCTGGCCAAAGTGGTGAAACTTGGTCTCCACTAAAAATACAGAATTAGCTGGGTGTGGTGGTGCATGCCTGGAATCCCAGCTACTTGGGAGGCTGAGGCAGGAGAATCGCTTGACCTGGGAGGTGGAGGGTGAGGAGAGGCGAGATCGCGCCATTGCACTCCAGTCTGGGTGACAGAGCGGTCTAAAAAAAGAGTAATAATGAAAAATAAAAAATAAAAAAAGTGGGCTGGGTACCGTGGCTCACACCTGTATTCCTAGCACTTTGGGAGGCTGAGGTGGGCGGATCACCTGAGATTGTGAGTTTGAGACCAGCCTGACCAACATGGAGAAACCCCACCTCTACTAAAAATACAAAATTAGCTGCGTGTGGTGGCATATGCCTGTAATCCCAGCTACTCGAGAGGCTGAGGCCGGAAAATCGCTTGAACCCGGGAGGCAGAGGGTGTGGTGAGCCAAGATCACACCATTGCACTATAGTCTGGCAACATGAATGAAACTCCCATCCCCCCCCCCACAAAAAAAGAAAAAAGCAACCCTCTAGTGACTTGTTAGATCAAATCATCAGACAGACAGTTGGGGTAAAATTCTGGAGTTGATTAAGAATTAAGAGAGGGGTGCTGGCTTGCCTGGATGGCTACAGGAACATAGCCCTGGAGCTGACCAACTATGTTAAGTGGACAACTGAAAAATAAGTACAGGGTGTGTTAATCAGAGGCAACAATGATACGGATGTGAAGACACCAAGAGAACAGTACTTTTCATGGTTAGATATATTTCTTAGGTATTTTTTCTATTTTGAGGTTCTTTTGTGATATAATTTGTCCTGTTTTCATATATATATATATACTTTTTTTTATTGTCATGTAAGATAAATGTATATAATTGTAGGCTTAATTGTAAAGAGTTTTCACATTTAAGTTCCAGTCATTTGATTTTATTGCTGTGTCTGTGTATGGAATCCTAAAAGAGTAAGACATAAAAAAAAAATAAAAGTACGGTTCTAAACAGCTCTTTAAAAGGCAGAGACTGCTTGGGCAAAAAAAAAAAAAAAGCAAGATCCAACTACATGCCATCTACCAGAAACCCACCCTAAATACAACAGGTAAAAGGAAGCTTAAATGCAGTGCGGACCCTGGCTTGGACTCTGGCGTGTAAAGACAACATCGGAGGAAAAGGTGGTGAAATCCCAGCAAAGTCTGGGGTTTAGTTACAGTAATGCATCATGTCAGTAGCTTAGTTTTGGCAAATCACGGTAAACTGAGATGACAGCATTAGAAGAAACTGAGCATAAAATGTGCTGGACCGTGTATGATCTTTGCAACTTTTTTTTTTTTTTTTTTTTTTTTTTGAGACAGAGTTTCACTCTTGTTACCCAGGCTGGAGTGCAATGGCGCGATCTTGGCTCACTGCAACCTCCGCCTCCTGGGTTCAGGCAATTCTCCTGCCTCAGCCTCCTGAGTAGCTGGGATTACAGGCACGCGCCACCATGCCCAGCTAATTTTTTGTATTTTTAGTAGAGACGGGGTTTCACCATGTTGACCAGGATGGTCTCGATCTCTTGACCTCGTGATCCACCCGCCTCGGCCTCCCAAAGTGCTGGGATTACAGGCTTGAGCCACCGCGCCCGGCACGCAACTTTTTTTTTTGAGATGAGTTTCACTCTTGTCTCCCAGGCTGGAGTGAAATGGCACAACCTCGGCTCACTGGAACCTCAGCCTTCCGGGTTCTAGCGATTCTCCTGCCTCACTCTCCCGAGTGGCCGGGATTACAGGAGCATGGGACAGCACACCCAGGTAATTTTTGTATTTTTAGGAGAGACAGCGTTTCACCATGTTGGACAGGCTTTAACTCCTGACCTCAGGTGATCCACCCGCCTCGGCCTCCCAAAGCGTTGGGATTACAGGCTTGAGCCACTGCGCCCGGCCTTTGCAACTTTTTTGATAAATCCAAAATTATTCCAGAACAAAACGTTTCGCACAAACAAAAAACAAAAACCCACACACAGTAAAATAACGGTAAAGATTTACTATGCTAGCACTAACAATGTGATACGTAGCTATGAAAACGGTGTGTACTTTTTTTTTTTTTTTTTGAGACGGAGTTTTCGCTCTTGTTACCCAGGCTGGAGTGGTGCAATGGCGCGATGTCGGCTAAACCTCCGCCTCCTGGTTTCAGGCAATTCTCCTGCCTCAGCCTCCTGAGTAGCTGGGACTACAGGCGTGCAACACCATGCCCAGCTAATTTTTTGTATTTTTAGTAGAGACGGGGTTTCACCATGTTGACCAGGATGGTCTCGATCTCCTGACCTCGTGATCCACCCACCTCGGCCTCCCAAAGTGCTGGGATTATAGGCGTGAGCCACCGCGCCCGACCCGGCGTGTCCTTTTCAAGCGAAAAGTTCCTAATGGTAGAAAACGGGGAGGAAAACTGCTTCTTAAAACCTGTTCTACCGCTTACGGTAACAGAGTGTCCGGTCCCTCCAGCGGTCTGGATAATTTTTTTTTTTTTTCTGAGACGGAGTTTCGCTCTTGTTACCCAGGCTGGAGTGCAATGGCGCGATCTCGGCTCACCGCAACCTCCACCTCCTGGGTTCAGGTAATTCTCCTGCCTTAGCCTCCTGAGTAGCTGGGATTACAGGCACGCGCCACCACGCCCAGCTAGTTTTTTGTATTTTTAGTAGAGACGAGGTTTCACCATGTTGACCAGGATGGTCTCGATCTCTTGACCTCGTGATCCACCCGCCTCGGCCTCCCACAGTGCTGGGATTACAGGCGTGAGCCACCGCGCCCGGCCCCGGTCTGGATAATTTCATCTCAGTCCTGGATGGAAGCAGCTGGCACTCAAAAGGTGGCTCGGAGTTCAGAGGAATGCCTATGTACAGATTTGGTCCAATACCTCGGCCAGACCTCAGAGGCCTTTGGGGGTCGGCTCCGCGCCCACGCTCACACACCTGTGACCCCACACACTTCCACGCCAGCGCCAGTGCCAACTGCTATAGCCATTCCCCTCCAACCGCGCCAGCTCGCAGCCGCCGTCCGTCTGGACTCGCCGCGCCCTCTCCAGCGGGCCCTTCCGGGTTCATGGACCAGGGAAACCCGCTCTTCTGGGTGGAGCTGCTCCTCACCCGCTTTCCTTAACTTGATCATTCTCTCCCCAGGGCTTCCACGTCACCGTGCTGCGGACAATCCCGGAACTCAGGTCACGCCAGTTTACGTTGAGGAACTGCAATGGCTCCCACGGATTCAGTCAAAACAAGGCTGCGGCCGGGGGCGGTGGCTCACGCCGGTCATCCCACCATTCTGGGAGGCTGAAGCAGGCGGATCACCTGAGTTCAGGAGTTCGAGACCAGCCTGGACAACACGGTGAAACACGGTCTCTAACTGAAAATACAAAAATTAGCCGGGCGTGGTGACGCGCACCTGTAGTCCCGGCTACTCGGGAGGCTGAGGCAGGAGAATCGCTTGAACCTGGGAAACGGACGTTGCAGTGAGCCGAGATCGCGCCACCGTACTCCAGCCTAGGCGACAAAGCAAGACTGCGTCTCAAAAAACACCAAAAAAAAAAAAACAACCCCACCAAAATACACCGACTGCGTGGGAGGCAGAGACGCAGCAAACGCGGCCGCGCTTGTCCCCTCGGGGCCACCGTTCCCATCCCGACTTCCGGCCTGCCTTAAAACGCTCACGCGTAGGTGCGCGGGCAGGAGGGCGGGCTCAAGCGCAGTTCGTAGCGTTCATTGGCTGTGCTGGGCCGAGGAAGGCGGGGCGAGCCCGCCAGGTGACGTCAGGACGCCGCCGTCAGGACGTCGAAGCTAAAGGAGACGAGAGCCAGCCGAGTAGCCGAGTGCTGTGGTCACCGTGTTGCTACTCGCTTTGGTGGCTGTTGGTGTGTCCCTGCAGCGAAAGGTCCTGGTTGGTAAGGGGAGCGGCGGGCGAGCAGGCGGGCAGGGATAGCGTCTCTTTTCGGTCTTGCGCCCTGGGAGCCCCGAGGCCTTCGCGGTCGTAATAGCAGCGGACGCCTCTCGCGAGCTTCGACAGGGTGTGGCGGAGCAGGGGTAGCCCCTGCGCCTGCGCACCGGGCCTCGGGGCGCGCGGCCGGGCACTAGCGCGCGTGCGCCGTCGTCTTCGTCTCCCCGCCCTCTTCCCTCGGAATTCTCGGGGCCCCGGTGCGCCCCTCACTCGCCATTTATTCGGCGGTTCCTGAGGGCGGGCGGTGTTGCCCCGGCGACGGGCGGCTCCTGAGCTTCTTTCTGGGGTCGTGGTGCGCAGGCGCGGCCCGGAGAGCGGCTCCGTGGATCAGTCGTGGGGATCCGGGCGGCCTCCTCCGCTCGGCGCCCTCTTTTGCCTTCGCCCAGCCTGCGGGACGGCCAGGTGCTCCCGGGAACCCATACCTGGCGCCTGGTTCCTGTCCTCGTTCTTGAGACCGGCCCGGGAGTCCCCTGTCCAGCCCCCAACTCCTGACCTTACTTCTAATCTTCCTTTTGCCCGGGGGCTCCCCTTCCTGTGTCCCCGCCACGGTCCCCCTTCTCCACTTACTCTCTGTGTCCTCCTGAAGGCCTTTGCGTTTCTAGGGCTTTCCCGAGCTTCACACTCCTGTTCCTGTCTCATCAGCTTGTGAGACTTTCGATTCCCCTGCGGGGTTCATTCTTCTACTTATCAGTTAACCCCCTCGGGGTTGAGATCCCTTGGTCCTTGCCCCGGAGACACTCCACGTTTCTTCCAGTTTTCTCTACCTCATTCCTCATTCCTTGAACATGTTTTGGGTCGTCTTTGGTATTCCCAAAGCTTTGTGTCTGGACACCCAACCGAGGTGATACCTCTCGTGGAAGCAGGCAGGGGTAGACTTCCTGAGGACTCCCACGTAGGTCCCGCTTCTGCTCTTCGGAGACTTTTTTGAAAAATCAATCTCTCAGTGCTAAGAACCCATTTTTTCACGTTGGGGTTCGTGTCGGCATTCTCCTCGGGAGTGTTCAACGTCCCCTGCTTCCAGGGATAACTTCCTGAAAATCCCCTTTTACTCTCAAAATTTTCTTCTGCGGTGTTCCCCCACCTCCTTCCTCTTCTGCCTCAATGCTCCCTGCAAGGCTTCCTTCTTCAGAGTTTTCAGAAACCTTTCCACCGTCATCAGCCTTAAGGGTTCCCTCAGGCTCTTCGCATTAGAGCATCCGTCCTTTTGGTTTGGCTTCATTTCACAACCCGTATTCCCTAGAATTCTTACTTTAGTTTTGTTTTGGAGACGGAGTTTCACTCTTGTTGCCCAGGCTGGAGTGCAGTGGGGCGATCTCGGCTCACCGCAACCTCCACCTCCCGGGTTCAAGCGATTCTCCTGCCTTAGCCTCCCGAGGAGCTGGGATTACATGCTACCATGCCCGGCAAATTTTGTATTTAGTAAAGATGGGGTCAGGCTGGTCTCGAACTCCTGACCTCAGGTGACTTGCCCGCCTCAGCCTCCCAAAGTGCTGGAATTACAGGCATGAGCTACTGCGCCCAGCCCCTAGGGTTTTTATTAGACCCTTTCCCCTTGATGGAGTAACCTACCCTCTGGATCGTCCATCACACCTTCTCTTTGCTCATGTGGATTTCAGACACTTCTCCTTTCCTTTGGGAAGCCCATTCCCTGTTTCCAGATGCTTCGTTTTCTGCCTGTAGTACTACAAAGAGGCCAGAGGCTTCCCCTCATGCTCCAGCCTTTTAGTCCATACCCAGAACTCTTTAGATCTTTGACCCCGGTGGCTTCGCTGTCAGCCTTCCCTTTTCTGCTTGGCTTCTCTTGAGTCCATCTGCTTCTCTTCCCCACTTTGTGATATATTTTTAGCTTCCTTTTAAGTCTTTCTAACACTTCCTTTTTCTTACAGACAGTGAAAAAGCAGTCTGGCTCCCGAGGTCGACCCCTCCTACCCCAAGGTCCAGATGGCGGCCAACGTGGGTGATCAGCGTAGCACAGATTGGTTAGTGGGGCGAGCGGGGCAGAGGCCACCTGGAGGGAAGAGGAAGCAAGGCTCAGTGCTGTCCTCTGGGTTGGAGCCTCATGGGCTCAGGGGAAGTGATGCCACAATCCCTGGGGTTGGGGGTGGGGGCGAGGCAAACACAGAGGGAAGCATTTGGTTGTGGTGTGGAGAGGGGTGAGCCTTCACCTCTCTGAGCTTTCATTTTTCACAGTACAGCGCTTGCTTTGCAGGATTGTGATGATTCATTCAAGCAAGTGTCATTAGGAGGCAGGTTCTCAACACTCATTGCCCAGTTATCTGTTTGTTTTTCTGCTAATTCCTTATTTTTTCTGAAAACAGTGTGGTTACCTGCCGACTGGGGCTGTATCAGACAGAATTCATTGATTCATAAAAGACAGCCCTAGTAGGTGCCAGGCCCTGTGTTTAGTTTTGTGGGTTCTGTTAATTGTTTTGTTTGCTGGTTTTAACAACTGCTGTGGTGTGCCAGGCTTTGGGACAAGTATCTTAAGGAGGTGATCTCATTTATCTCTCCCAGAAGACGGAAGCAGAAATCTTTTATCAGTATAGTACAGGTTAGAAAACGTAGACTTAGATGGGAGTGACAGTGAGACCTGGGATTCAGAGGCTGGAAATTGCCTCCTAACTTGCGCACCTGTGTACAGTGGGGAGAACAGATGTGACCTGATGTCCTGTCTCTGCAGGTCTTCTCAGTACAGCATGGTGGCTGGGGCAGGCCGAGAGAATGGCATGGAGACGCCAATGCGTGAGAACCCGGAGTGGGAGAAGGCCCGCCAGGCCCTAGCCAGCATCAGCAAATCCGGAGCTGCCGGCAGCTCTGCCAAGGCCAGCAGCAATGGGCCTGTGGCCAGCGCACAAGTGAGAAGGCCACACGGGGCTGGAGGACCTTGAGCCAGTGGTTGTGGGAGGGATACAGCCTGATGTCCTCTTGTATCAGTCAGGCAGGGAACATAAGAAGATGTTTCAGGGAATCTAAGAAAGGGACAAGTTGTTTCCTTGAGGGATCCAGGGCATGATGCGGTTCTGAAGAGGGAGACTGTGTGCCTGCCCCTGGTCTCGAGAGTGTGTGAGTCTGATGGTAGAGACAGTGGCTCACTTTGTGGATGCATGGACCCAGTGTCACTCCTAGGCCATTAACCACCAGTAGACACAGGCTAGCCCTTTGGGGGCTGTGTGCCCGTGCATTTGGGCTACTGACGGCGCATGGGCCTCTCTTTCCACAGTATGTGTCGCAGGCAGAAGCCTCGGCTTTGCAGCAGCAGCAGTACTACCAGTGGTACCAGCAGTACAACTATGCCTACCCCTACAGCTACTACTATCCCATGGTGAGTGCCCAATGGGTGGGGTGGGGCGGGGCAAGGTAGAATCTGCCGGTTGCAGCTGGGTGGTGGATAGACTGGAGATAGCAGTGCTCACTGCTCAGAAACCCCCACGAGCTGAATTCCAAGTCCCCTCCCCCAGCCCCCCGCCCCCCACTGTGAGCCGCAGATCCTACATACTCGGTTCCGGTTCCTTCTCTTTCTTCCCTCATCCCTCATGCTCATTCCACCATGGCTGTCGGAGCAGAGACCTTGGTGCCCGCACCTGCCAGGCCCGCTCTTGCTTTGCCCTGGCTGCAGTGCTCCTGCGTTGCTGCTGCTTGGAGGTCTTGGCTCAGATGCTGCCTTCAGAGAGCCTCTACCTGACACACTAATTTTTTTTTTTTTTTTGAGATGGATTCTTGCTCTGTCACCCAGACTGGAGTGCAGTGGCGTGATTTCAGTTCGCTGCAGCCTCTGCCTCCCGGTTTAAGCAGTTTTCCTGCCTAAGCCTCCTGAGTAGCTGGGACTACAGGCGCGTTCCACCGTGCCCGGCTAATTTTTGTATTTTTAGGAGTGGGGGGGGAGTTTCACCATGTTGGTCATGCTGGTCTCAAACCCCTGACCTGGTGATCTGCCTGCCTGAGTCTCCCAAAGTGCTGGGATTACAGGCGTGAGTCACCATGCCTGGCCACCCAGTAAAGTAGCATTCCTGCCTTGCAGCCTGTTCTCCCTTTGTTTTTTTTTTTTTTTTTTGAGACGGAGTTTTGCTCTTGTTACCCAGGCTGGAGTGCAATGGCGCGATCTCGGCTCACCACAACCTCCGCCTCCTGGGTTCAGGCAGTTCTCCTGCCTCAGCGTCCCGAGTAGCTGGGATTACGGGCACGCGCCACCATGCCCAGCTAATTTTTTGTATTTTCAGTAGAGACGGGGTTTCACCATGTTGACCAGGATGGTCTCGATCTCTTGACCTCGTGATCCACCCGCCTCGGCCTCCCAAAGTGCTGGGATTACAGGCTTGAGCCACTGCGCCTGGCCTCTGTTCTCCCTTCTTTTGCTTTTTTGTTGTTTCATGATACTTACTGCCGGATGTATTACACGTTGATGTCTACAACCGGGCATGTTATTCAAGCACAGGCTTTATTAAAGCATGAGTTTCACTTTTTTTTTTTTTTTTTTGGGATGGAGTTTCGCTCTTGTTACCCAGGCTGGAGTGCAATGGCGCGATCTCGGCTCACCGCAACCTCTGCCTCCTGGGTTCAGGCAATTCTCCTGCCTCAGCCTCCTGAGTAGCTGGGATTACAGGCACGCACCACCATGCCCAGCTAATTTTTTTGTATTTTTAGTAGAGACAGGGTTTCACCATGTTGACCAGGATGGTCTCGATCTCTTGACCTTGTGATCCGCCCGCCTCGGCCTCCCAAAGTTCTGGGATTACAAGCGTGAGCCACCGCACCCGGCCCGAGTTTCACTTTTTATTGTTCTGTGGTAGTGCTTAGGAGAGTTGCCGCTCAGTGTATGTTGATCATATTCTTCTGAGAACTAGCTAAGTGATACGTGAGATTGATAGAGGTTTTCTTTTTGGATACATGAGAGGATGTGGTATATTAATATAGCGTAGAGAGAAAGACGGGTGAGGGATTGGTAGAGGGACATGGCTAGTGTAGTCCTTGAGCAGGCTGGGGAAGTGAAAAGGGCAGGCCTCCCACTAAACCCTCCTTCCCTGCACCTTTGCAGAGCATGTACCAGAGCTATGGCTCCCCCTCCCAGTATGGGATGGCCAGCTCCTATGGCTCAGCCACACCCCAGCAGCCATCCGCACCCCAGCACCAAGGGACTCTGAACCAGGTAACACCCTAGCCCAGCTCCCACATCCTGCGCAAGCAGAGAAAGTGTTGATTTTTGAGTGGGCTGTCAATGAGGAATGGTCCGTGCTCTTTAAGCTACTTTTTTTCTTCCCAGCAACTTCTGGTCTGAAAATGAGGAGGAGAAAGCATAGTGTTTGAACCTAGGGTGGGTTTAAGGCTGGGCCAAGGCCAGGGCTGAGATGGTGGGAACTTTTCCCCCAGCATAGTCACCCACACGTGTGCACACATGGGTCGGCTTTTGCATTTAAGATGCAGCTTGGAGGAATGGCCGAGCTAGTGCATGGGAGGCAGGTAGACCTGGGTTTCATTCCCAGCTTGCCCCCATCTCCCTGGTGTCATTACTTAGGCACCCCGTGTCCTCTGCATCTCCATCAGCTCTCGAAAGCGGGAAGGATAGTAGCCTCATCTTTGGGCTCACGTGTGTCTTGTGCTCAGATGGTAGTGCTGGAGTGGGTGTGCTGTCGGTGGCTGTTACTCCAGCGATGAAATGCTACCAGCTGCCACTTCACAGCCCAGGGCCCTGGGAAGATGCTCAGTCTCTGAGCTGGAGTTGGCTGAGCCGTGGAAAGGGTTGTTAACAGATGCTAACCTCAGAGAGTAGCCGAGGACTTGGAATGAGCTTGCATGGGAAGGTCAGGCAGAGTTGAGTGCTGAGCGCTGCAATGACCGAGGCCAAGCGCCAGCACCAGAATCTGCCCACTGTGCTCAGTGCCTGTTTCCTTCTGTAGCCACCAGTCCCCGGCATGGACGAGAGCATGTCGTACCAGGCTCCCCCTCAGCAGCTGCCCTCAGCCCAGCCCCCTCAGCCCTCAAACCCCCCGCATGGGGCTCATGCGCTCAGTAGCGGCCCCCAGCCTGGAACGGCCCCAGCCACACAACACAGCCAGGCGGGGCCCGCCACGGGCCAGGCCTACGGGCCACACACCTACAGTGAACCTGCCAAGCCCAAGAAGGGCCAACAGCTGTGGAACCGCATGAAGCGTAAGTTTGCAAAGCTGTGTGGAGGCTGAGGGGTTGGGAGCCTTACGGAGCTCTGAGGTGTGAGACACGTGGTGTGTGCTGGGCCTTATTTCTGGGTGTTACAATCTCTTGGCTTGGGGTGGGGCTGCTCTGGGCCTGGCACGTTTGTGCTGGAGCCCTCCTTTAGAAGCTGATCTCTCATCCCTGAATTTCCACTTCTGCTGCCCTCGAAGCCCTCCGTCTATATCCCCTGGGAGCCCCTGGAGGTGCTGGGGAGGGACCTGACTCTAGCTTTTGCTGCCCTCACAGCAGCCCCTGGGACTGGAGGTCTCAAGTTCAACATCCAGAAGCGACCCTTTGCTGTTACTACCCAGAGCTTTGGCTCCAATGCAGAGGGCCAGCACAGCGGCTTTGGCCCCCAGCCCAACCCTGAGAAAGCTCAGAACCACAGGTGATGGCTTCCCCCTTGCCCTGTCACAGCTCCCCAGCACATTCACTGTCTGTGGTCAGTCCCATTGGCCAGCTGCCCACCCTCAGCCACAGTGTGCGCCTCTGAACGGGGAAAGGACCCTCCTTTGGGGGTTCCTGTGAGCACTGTGTCCGGCTGTGTGTCAGCTGAGAGTGGTGGTGGTGATGGTCTTTGGAGTTTGGGATCCTCCCCAACTGAGCCCCTCACCTTCTTCCTGCAGTGGGTCCTCTGCCCGGGGCAACCTGTCTGGGAAGCCCGACGACTGGCCCCAGGACATGAAAGAGTATGTGGAGCGCTGCTTCACCGCCTGTGAGTCGGAGGAGGACAAGGACCGCACTGAGAAGCTGCTCAAGGAGGTGCTGCAGGCCCGGCTACAGGATGGCTCTGCCTATACCATCGACTGGAGCCGGGAGCCGCTGCCAGGGTTAGTCTGGGCGGGGGACCTGGGTGGGAGGGTGATGCTGTTAGAGGCATGGGCTGGGCATGGAGGTGGGAGAGTTGGGGGGGTCCCAGGTACCAGGAGCTCCAAAGAGAATGAGCCAGAACGTTGGATTCTGGGGCAATGAAGTCCTGGTTGGAGGAGGCCAGTAGGGTAGGGTGGGGACCACAGGTGTGGGGGAGGTGTGCATGGCGCAGTGGTTAAACGTACCCTCTGGACACAGAAATCCTTGGGTTTGTGCGTCATTTCTCCACTATATTAGTTGAGCTGCCTGGGGTAAGGGCCTTTAATTTCGGAGGTGGTTTGTCCCCTGGGGTGGGTTGGTAGATTGAGGGAGGTGGTGGTGGCCGTCCTGCCAGTGTCTGGCGGGGTTGGTGATGCTCTGCTGTGCTGTATCCTCAGGCTGACCCGCGAGCCTGTGGCTGAGAGCCCCAAGAAGAAGCGGTGGGAAGCTCCTAGCAGCCTTCATCCTCCTAGAGGGGCGGGCTCGGCGACAAGGGGCGGGGGTGCCCCATCCCAGCGAGGGACACCGGGGGCTGGGGGTGCTGGTCGAGCCCGGGGCAACAGCTTCACCAAGTTTGGCAACCGCAATGTCTTCATGAAGGACAACAGCTCTTCTTCCAGCACCGACTCCCGCTCCCGCTCCTCCTCCAGGTCTCCAACGCGCCACTTCCGCAGAAGGTGCGGAGGCTCCGGGCTCGGGGGTGTTCCGGGGGGCAGGGGCGTTTCAGGCCTGACCTTCCTGCTTCTTCCTGCAGTGACTCCCACTCAGACTCCGACAGTTCCTACTCAGGGAATGAGTGTCACCCTGTGGGCCGCAGGAACCCGCCCCCTAAGGGCCGGGGTGGCCGAGGGGCCCACATGGACCGGGGCCGAGGCAGGGCACAGCGTGGGAAGAGGTGAGACTGGGCGGGGCCTGAGACACAGGCCGGGGTAGAGGAGGGTGCTGGGGACCCAAGGAGGAAGAGGAAGGGGGCAGACAGGTGGACAGCCAGCTGCCAAAGAGGAGAGGCTGGAGGGTGGCTGGAGACGCCTCCTGCTCACCACGCCTCGCCCCTTCCTAGGCATGATCTGGCTCCCACCAAGCGCAGTCGAAAGAAGATGGCAGCACTGGAGTGTGAGGACCCTGAGCGTGAGCTGAAGAAGCAGAAGCGGGCAGCCCGCTTCCAGCATGGACACTCCCGTCGCCTGCGGCTCGAGCCCCTGGTCCTGCAGATGGGCAGCCTCGAGGGCAGCGGGGCTGACCCTGACTGGCAGGAGCTGCAGATTGTGGGCACCTGCCCCGACATCACCAAGCACTACCTGCGTCTCACCTGTGCTCCTGACCCGTCCACCGTGCGCCCTGTGGCTGTAAGTGCCCAGGCAGGGCAGTCCTGCTCTGTGAGGCGGGGCTGGCTCAGCACCCAGGGAGGGCGGCAGAGGTCACGTGGGCTGGGGTATGGCAGGGCCCTGAGCCTGGCGGTCAGTGATCTGAGAGGAATGTGAAGGTGCACGGCTGTCCTGGAGCCCTGTGTGTGGGGTGTGCGGCGTTGGCTGGGGAATCACTTGGCCTTTGGGCCTGGGTCCCTGGCTTAGGTGACATGGAGCGTGAAGCCTTTTCCCCAACCCCAGGGCTATGGGGCATGGGTGGCTGTGCTTGCAGTGTTGGGTGTAGTCAGTGCTCTGCTGCAGAACCCGTCAACAGCCATGTGCCTACAGAGAAATGTGTGTGGGAGATCCACTCTTAACTTACGTCTTACTTTTTGTTTGTGTTTTGTTTGAAGACAGAGTCTTGCTGTGTCGCCTGGGCTGGAGTGCGGTGTCATAATCTTGGCTCACTGCAACCTCCATCCTGGCTTCAAGTGATTCTCCTGCCTCCGCCTCCCAAGTGGCTGGGATTATAGGCATGAGCCACCATGCCTGGCTCATTTTTGTATTTTTAGTAGCGACAGGGTTTCAGCATGTTGGCCAGACTGGTCTCCTGACCTCAGGTGATCCGCCCACCTCAGCCTTCCAAAGTGCTGGGATTACAAGCATGAGCCACCGCACCCGGCCTTTTGTGTTTTAGTTTATTGTTGTAACTCCCACCAAATAAGTGGGAGCCCTTGCACTCCCTCCCTGAGTTGTACCCTGAGTATTCATTCATTTTCCTTTCCAGGTTTTGAAAAAATCGCTGTGCATGGTCAAGTCCCACTGGAAAGAGAAGCAGGATTACGCGTTTGCCTGCGAGCAGATGAAGTCCATCCGGCAGGATCTGACGGTGAGGCTCACGCTGGGAGGGCCTGGCCTTAGCCGGTGCTACCCCCGCTCCCTGTGACTCTTGTTTCTGCCCTGCCACCCCAGGTGCAGGGCATCCGCACGGAGTTCACGGTAGAGGTGTATGAGACCCACGCCCGGATCGCCTTGGAGAAGGTGAGCTGGCCTCTGCAGGCTCCCTGCCCCTTTCCTGCTACCTTTCTGTCCTCAGCGCCCTTACTCTGCTCCATTCCCTCCATGCCTCTGCCTTCCAGGGCGACCACGAAGAGTTTAACCAGTGCCAGACGCAGCTCAAGTCGCTGTACGCCGAGAATTTGCCTGGCAACGTGGGCGAGTTCACTGCCTACCGAATCCTCTACTACATCTTCACCAAGAACTCAGGAGGTGAGCCCCAGCCCCCGGGACAGAGGTCGAGGTGCCAGGGTCGAGCCCCGCTGATTGACACCCTTGGTCTTGGCCCTAGACATCACCACGGAGCTGGCATACCTCACACGGGAACTGAAGGCAGATCCTTGTGTGGCCCATGCCTTGGCACTAAGGACAGCCTGGGCCCTGGGCAACTACCACCGCTTCTTCCGGCTCTACTGCCACGCACCCTGCATGTCTGGCTACCTTGTGGATAAGTTTGCAGATCGGGAGCGCAAGGTTGCCCTCAAGGCCATGATCAAAACGTATGTGGTGCCAAGCTCCCTTCTGCCCTTGCTCGTCCCATCCTTCCGCCTCGCAGCTCCCCTCAGACGAGATCCTGGCCCTAGGCCTCCCCCAGCCCTTGACCCTTGTCCTGGTCCTTTCTCCCACCTCTTTGTTTCCTGCTCAGCCCTCTCGCTTTCCTTCTTGGCCACCTCTGTGTTCCGGGTCACTCCTCCCCGTCTCTCCACTGTCGAGCTCACTGCCTCTGGAGCCTCTTCTCCATCCCGGCTGTGTCTGTTTCTCTTCCTCCTGTTCTCACCTGCCTGGACCCTCTAGTTCAGTCCTTGCTCTGGGCTCCCTCCCCTCTCTGCTTTCTCAGCTTCTCACTGTGCTCCCACTCCGCAGAGACCATGTAGACAGTCTCTGGTCTAACAGGACAAGGCCCACTCCCACTCCGCAGAGACCATGTAGACAGTCTCTGGTCTAACAGGACAAGGCCCACTCCCACTCCGCAGAGACCATGTAGACAGTCTCTGGTCTAACAGGACAGGGCCCACTCCCACTCCGCAGAGACCGTGTAGACAGTCTCTGGTCTAACAGGACAGGGCCCACTCCCACTCCGCAGAGACCATGTAGACAGTCTCTGGTCTAACAGGACAGGGCCCACTCCCACTCCGCAGAGACTATGTAGACAGTCTCTGGTCTAACAGGACAAGGCCCACTCCCACTCCGCAGAGACCATGTAGACAGTCTCTGGTCTAACAGGACAAGGCCCACTCCCACTCCGCAGAGACCGTGTAGACAGTCTCTGGTCTAACAGGACAAGGCCCACTCCCACTCCGCTCCTTTGAGAGCACCAGGAAGGCTCAGGGAGGCCCTCTGATGAGACCACACTGGGCACCACATTGAAGGCCCTTGGTCAGGCCACACCCCCTCAGTGTTCTTTGTTCACTAGATTGGGTGTCTGGCCTGCTGTGGGTAGGGAAGAGTTGCTTGACTGACATTTAGATGGTGTGGTTCTCCGTCTGGTGGTTGAAGTGACCCCAGGTGATGGGTACTGTTGAGGAAGGTTTTCCGTTTTTTCAGCAACAGAATGCTCCTGGTATCTAGTGAGTGCAGGCCAGGGTGCCCACCACAGTCATCGGGCCCCAGAGGTCAGTCTTGCCAGGTGGAGAAATTCTGGTCAAATAGGTCGACCGTAGGTTGGAGAGGCCTCAAATGCCTGGCCAGCTGGCCCTCTGCCTGAGGTCACAGTCACAGCATGGTTTGGAGCTAGGAAGGGGCCGTCAGCCTGGAGGTTAGGAAACTCATTCTGGGATCTAGTTTGGGTCAAGCTGACTTGAGGGAGAGGCTGAGTCAGGGATGGAGTCAGAGGAGCAGATCAGTATGTGGGGTACGGTACACAGAACTCCATTACCAGCTGGGGAAGTGAGAAGGAAGGGGAGGCAGGGAGGCTGCCCAGCCTGCTGCTGCCTGATGGGCCCCATGGATGGTGGCTCTCCAGCTTCAGTGCCGCACTGAAGGGGCATGGGGTTGGGTGAGCGTCCCTGTCAATTGATATGTGATTGGCCTTGGTTGGGGACATAGCCATGAGTGCCCCTCGTGGGTGGGACCCTAGTCTGTCATTGCCCTTACTGTCTCAGCACCTTCCCCACAAGGAGGCTGACCCTGCCCTGCCAGCTGAGACTGGGAGCTGGAGCAGGCTGTGATCCCAGGGCCTCCGTGAGGCTCTGGCGTTGGAGCAGAAGCGCGTTCTAAGACTTAGGGCCCTCATGGGGTGCACTCCTCCTTTGGTTCCTGTGTGTGTGGAAAGGGTAGGGCCACATCGCCTGTGGGAGAGCGTTCAGGGAGCTTTGAGGACCTGGCTCGTGCCAGTAATGTCTCGGTAGCAGCCAGCAGTGACTGCTTTCAGTGGTAGTGGTGAGTGCTGTCTGGCACCTGTGCCTGGCTTCCCAAAGGCACTGTGATGCAGGCAGGGGAAGCTTCGAGGGCTGGGTCCCCACCGTGGCCCTGCCAGGCCTGCCATCCCCAACCCTTGCTGTGTGCTGCTCCCTCCATCTGGCCCCTGCCCTCAGCCAGTGGAGGAGCCCACTGGGCCCTTCCCTTCCTGTCCCCTCTCCTCCCTGGCCCACTGCACAGGTAAGTGAGGGTGAGGGGGGGCACAGCTGGGGATTGGGGCCACTCACCCCACCCCGGGCCCCCCCGAGCCCCTGAGGTTGGGAGGCTGGGAGGCGGGTGGGGAAGCCAGCAGGTACTGTGCTGAGGAAACCCTGTGGGTACCCGAATGGGGGGCCTCCTTGATTGTGGGGCCCTCCCCCGCCCTCCCGCCCGCCTCATCACCTTCTCCTCTTGTCTCCATAGCTTCCGCCCTGCGCTGCCAGTCTCCTACCTGCAGGCCGAGCTGGCCTTCGAGGGCGAGGCCGCCTGCCGGGCCTTCCTAGAGCCCCTGGGCCTGGCCTACACGGGCCCGGAGAACTCCAGCATCGACTGCCGCCTCAGCCTGGCGCAGCTGTCAGCCTTCTGAGCACCCAGCGAGGAGGGGGCGGGGGCAGGGGCTGCAGCCCCCAGCGCTGCCTTTGCGGATTCTGTTTTTGAGCCGTGGACTTGGGTTGTAAATTTATTTGTGGGGAGTGGGCTCCAGGAAGAGCCACCGTCCCTGCCCCCATTTTCCCAGTGGGGAGTCTGTACAGAGATTTTTCTACGTTTTTATTTTTTGCCTCAGAGGGATGGGACTGGGGAGGAGGGGATGGGCAGCGGAGGGTTGGGGGCATGGTCTGCAGGCTCATCTGTGTCCGCCTTTCACTCCACTAATGCTGTCTCAGTGTTTTCTCTCTCTCTCTTTCGAGCTTGCACTCCGGTACCCGACCCAGCGCCCTGGCCCATCCCATGCCAGGGGGCCGGTGGAAAGAAGACAGGCTGTCCAGCCCATGCCCGCCTGTGGCGGGGGCACCCAGCAAGCCCGCCCACCGCCTGCTGCCTCACCTGCCTCACCACAGACTCTTGTTCCCAGCCCCATGGGGCCTCCGTGTTTGGGGTGAGGGGAGCTGCTTAGAGACTGTGCCCGTCCTCGGCCCCCCACCCTGAAGTGCCAGCACCACCAGCACCAGATCCTTCGCCGCCACACCGCACTGAGGACACGTCGGCTGGGCCGCCTCGTCTCAAGTTGTATTAAGTTGTCTTCGTGTCCCCTCCTCCCTCTGCCCCCAATGTTTCTTCTGATTTTTTTTTCCCCTTTCCCTCCCTCCTCCCCACATTCCTCCCTTGGTTCAGCACAGGTAAAATGGTTCCCTTCCTTCCCTGCCTTCATGGATCACCAGCTCACGTCATGTTTCCTTCTCTTTTCTTTGTGTGTGTGTTTCAGTTATTTTTCTTCGTCCTCTCCCTTTTCTTTTTGGCCCTCCCTCCCTCCCTCTTCTGCCATGTAACTGGAGGATGTGCTATGAGTTTGCAAACAGCTGGACTGTCAGGCTGCTTTTTTTCCAGATGTTCCTCCTCTGCCTCCCCTTCCCCTCCTCTCCCCTCCCTTTCCTTCCTTCCTTCCTTTCCTTGGAGCACTGAGCACCATTTGGAAGCTTAAGAGAAACCAAAATTAAAGAGAGAGAGAGAGCCGCGTTCCCGCAGTGTCTTCCTTGCGTGGGCTGTTGGCATCCCTTCTGTCTCTAGAGGTCTGGGGGTGTCACTCCAGCAGGATCTCAGCCAGGGGTTGGAAGGGCCCCCCTGTCCTCCCCATACGGCACAGCCAGAGTGTCTGCAAGGGCTGGCATCCCACCACCTGGCTGAGGCTGAAATCCAGCTTGGGGAGGTGGACTTGGGAACCGTGGGGCACCTTAGCAAGGGTGAGGTGCGGGTACGGCTGCCTTGGAGACGGCAGCACTCTTAGCCCCTCGGCTTCCAGCCTCTGGCTCAGCACTTGTGCCATGCCTTCCAGTGTGGGAGAGGGTGGGGCACAGAGCACATGTGGGCCCAGGAGGACCAGCTCCCTAAAGTTCAGTCGAGGGGGTGCGTTTAGCCCCGGGGCCAAGAGGGCCCGTCTCAGAGCCGTAATAGCGGCCGCCTCCTCTCCAGTGCCTGTCAGTCGCAGCAGGGCCAGCGTCAGGTGCAGGTTCTGGGTGGGCACCAGGAACTCAGCGCAGTGCGGGGCCACGTGGACCAAGTATTCCTGGGCCTTGGTCACTTCTGCTTGTAGCCCAGGCTCAGTCACCATAAGGGCCACAAAATGTGTGGGGCGTGGCTGACGAGGTGCTGCAGCACTAGCCAGGCCGGACCCTTTGTTCTCAGGCCAGGCTACAGGACCCCATTCGGCTTCTGTCTCCTCAGTGGAGCCCCCCGGGGCTGCCAGGGCTTCCTTGCTCCGCAGCTCTGAGGTCCTGGCGGCCGCTGTTGGCTTCAGTGCCCCCTCAGTCCCTTCCGTGAGGCATCCTCTTGGGGCCGCTGTTCCCAAAGCAGCTGTGCCCAGCGGCCTTTCCTGGGCCGCCTCCAGCTCTCCGGGCTCCTCCCCGCCTGGCTCCTGGTTCTCTGTGCACAGCGGCCTTGTGCTCCCTCGCCCGGGGGCAGCCTGGGCCTCCTGCCCTGTCCCCGCCAGTGTCCACTCGGCGTCCTCCGCTCCGCGGCCGTCCTCACTGTACAGCGCGTCTAGGATGGTGGGCCCGCGCCCAGCCGCCGAGCCAGAGCCGAAGACGAGGTCGGTGCGCGAGGCGCGGTCCCACACTAGGCGGCCGCGGAAGCGGAAGAAGCGAACGCGGTGCTGGGGCACGGCCAGCACGCCCGGCCCGAGCGCCGCCAGCGGCTCGTCCCAGCAGAAGGCGTTGAAGGGCTCCTCGCGCACGCCCAGGAAGCGGTCCGCGTAGCCCACCGAGAAGTCGGCGGGGTCCAGGCGCGGGTCCCAGCGGATGCGCTGGATGACGTCCGCGGCTGTGCGCAGCGGCGGCTTCTTGGCCCCGGGCTCGGGCTGTGCCTCGCGGCCAGGCGGCGCCGGCGCCAGCGCTCCGGGGTGGGGCTGGCGGCAGCGGGCGCCGAAGCGGCAGCGGCCTTCCAGGAAGAAACGGCAGGCCGGCGGGGGCATGGGATCCGTGGCGGCGGTTTCCTGCGGCAACTCCGGCTCTCTGGCCGCCGCCATGGGTGCGGGGAACTGGCGCGCCCGCCGCTCAGACCAGGTCGCCCAGCCTGGATGCCCCGAGTCTGACCCAACGGTGGCGTCAGCGGCCCTAGCTCCGGCCCCGCCCAGGGGACCACGCCCCGGGCCCTAGCGAGGACTCTGGCCCAGTTCTCAGGACGTCCCGCCTGAGCCCTCCCCCAGTGCCAGGAAAGCAAGCTCCATCCGGGCTGCGGCAGTCTTGGTCTCCCGGAGCTCTTCCGAGCCTGGCCCCGCCCCTTTCCCAGTGGTATCTGTGCGCGGCCTCTTTCCGAGTGATTTACATGTACTGCCCCGCCCCTTTTAGGTGATTTACATGTGGTGCCCGGCCCCTTTCCCGGTGATTTGCATGTCTTCCCCCGCCCCTTCCTGGGTGATTTACATGTGTGCTCCCGCCCCATTCCGTGAGATTTAGGTGTGCCCCGCCCCTGAGGGGGACGTCTTTAAAGAACCTGGACTCGTCCCCGTTGGAGTGATTTACATTTGCGGCCCCGCCCCTCTAGGAAACTTCAGAGAACCTGGCCCCTCAGTCATTTGCACGTTCGCAGAGAGATCGGACCTTGAAGAGCCAGGACGCCTGCGGACTCTTCGTCCACGGAGACCAGGGCCCTTCTGCTCTAAAAGGGTACCCAGACACTTTCCTCTGCGGCCGCTCCGCCCGGCGGAGTCCACCTGAGGCATGCAGGGCCAGAAAGGCTCCCGGGACGGCAGCACTCGGCAGCCCCGCCTCGGCTGGCCCCGCGGTGGCTGTGGGGCCCCGGCCCCAGGAGCACGTGCGGCCGGCGGAAGCGCTCAATATTTCATGAACGGGATTGCTTGACCCGCCGCCTTTGTAAGGGGCACTGCCTGGCCACGCCCTCGGGCCCTCTTAAAGGAGCCGCACCCCACGTCATCCCTTCCCACGTGCAAAGTGAAAAGTCAGAGCCCGGGCACACACTTGGCCGTTTATGTATATGGAAGTGGGGCGCAGCGCGGGAAGGGAGGGGAAGCGGGGAGCCTAGAGGCCGATGACGTCGTCCAGCTCCAGGTCCGCGTTGGGGCGGCAGCAGGCCTTGGGGCGCTGCGTCCCGGAGCGGGGTTCCGCGTCGGGCTTGGCGGCAGCCGCGTCGGGGCGCTCTGCGTCCATGACGCCTAGCACCGCGTCCAGCATGGAGGGCCCCAGATCCAGGTGGAAGGACAGCAGAGGGTCGGCCGGCGCGGGCGTGCAGAGGGCAGGCGCGGCGGGCTGCGGGACGGCGGGCGGCGGCGGGGAGCGCGGGGCTCCCGCGGGGGGCGCTCGTGGCTCGGGGGCGGCCCGCCGCCGTGGCGGCTCAGGAACGAGGTGTCCCCGAAGGCGTCGCCGCCGCGCCCCACGTGCAGCGTGTGCCGGAAGTCGCCGAGCGGCGCGGAGATGGACAGGGCGCCGCGATCCGGCCGCTTCTTGGGCTGCGCGGGGCCCAGCTGCTTCAGCACGGGCATCTGCGAGGGGCACGGGAGGGTCAGCGCGGCCCCGGCCCGGGGCTCGCAGCCGCGCGGCTGCTCAAAGGGCGCTCTCGGTGAGAGTAGGACGATGGGGGCTGGTTCCGTTTTTTTTGTTTTTGTTTTTTTAATTTTTTTTTTTTTTGAGACAGGCTGGAGTGCAGTGGCGCGATCTCAGTTCACTGCAACTTCTGCCTCCCGGGTTCAAGCGATTCTCCTGCCTCAGTCTCCTGAGTAGCTGGAATTACAAGCATGCAGCACCATGCCTGACTAATCTTTGTATTTTTAGTAGAGATGGGGTTTCACTGTGTTGGCCAGGCTGGTCTTAAACTCATGGCTTCAGGTGATCCGCCTGCCTTGCCTCCCAAAGTGTTGGGATTACAGGCATGAGTCACCACGCTGGCCCAAATTCAATATTAAATAGAAAAGCAGCCTGCCTCTGCCCATATCCTGGACTTTTGAGTATTTTGTGTGGAACTTCTGGGAGGGACTTTGATGACCTTGTACTTTTGTTTTCACAGTCACTGTTATAATAATAAAAACCTATTGCAACTGCAGCCCCACCCTTTGCCAGCTGTATGCATGGAATAAATTACTTTATCTACCTATTTTTCTATCTGTAAGACAAATAAAATAACATTACCTTCCTTTCAGGATACATAGAAAAGTTCAGTCAAAGAAAACTGTGCCTGTAATAGTGCTAACCAATTGGTAATTAGTGGGGGAAATATTTCCCTAACAAGAACTGTGGAACAAAAATTAGGTTGGCTAGGACACTATGAGAAAGACAAAGCAGGTGACATTGTTTTCATAGTAACAGGCACCCAGGGAAGTATTGGTGATACTAAGGAGGAAAAGGAAAGCCAAAGGGACTTGAAATAATTGTAGAAGGCTATATTCTGAAGACTGCCTTACACGCACACACACGGCACGCACACACGCACACGCGCGCGCGCGCGCACACACACACACACACACACACTCTTTCCATTTATTTCCATGGGGAAACCAGTTTTGATTTACTGCCTCTGCAGGGTTTATCAGATTTCTCTGACCTCAACCTGGATGAATAAATATATTTTCATGGTTACCTAGCACACAATCTCCACTCCCTTCTTCCCCATAATGGAAACAAAAATTTTATGACACAAGACTTGTCTTGTTTTGAGGCAAGGTCTTGCTCTGTTGCCTAGGCTGGAATGCCGCGGTGAGATCTCGGTTCACTGCAATCTCCACCTCCTGGACTCAAGTGATCCTCCCACTTCAGCCTCCTGAATAGCTGGGACCACAGGTTCACACCACCACGTAGTGTTTTTTTTTTTTTTTTTTTTTTCCTTTTTTTCTTTTTTTGTAGAGACGGGGTTTTGCCATGTTGCCTGGGCTGGTCTCAAACTCCTGAGCTCAGGCAATCTGCCCGCCTTGGCCTCCCAAAGTGCTGAGATTACAGGTGTGCGCCACCACACCCGGCCAAGACTTGTCTTACAAGGTGCTAGACACTGTTATTTTCTGTTGTAATCTATTTTATTTTTAAATGTTGACTCGGCTCATTAATGTATCTTTTGGATCCCCAGTTAAAAAGAAAATCCTCTCTAACTGCTAACAGAGACTATTATCTCAACACTTGCTTTGCAGTGAGTTAGAGGTGAGAAGGTAGAATTCAGAAAGCCAACTGCCCAGCTTTGAATATGGCTGTGCCGATTGCTGTGTGGCTTTGAGCAACTTATTTGACCTTTCTGACCTCCTTTCCTTATCTTGAAAGCGGCATGATGGTAATATAATACTTCATAGTCCTTTTGCAAGAATTGGTGGAATGATGCCCGTGAGACTTAGCACGGTGCCCAACACACAGTGAATGTTCAATTAACACATGCTCAACGGAGCCGCACCTTGGATCGCTCTCCCCATGTTCCAAAGAGGAAACGCATGGTCAGAGAAAGGACGTGACTGTCCAACATCACAAAGCCAGCTCCGGGGGACTCCAGAGTCCACAGCTGGCTCCCTGCACACTCTTCGACCTCTTGACTTCTGGCCAGCCCTCAGCGCCTGCTTCAGCTCAGACCCAGCTTCCAGCCTGCATCTGGCACCCCCCTGCCATTGCCCTATCAGTCACCACCACTTCGCAGCACCTGGCCACACACACAAATGTCTTGGTTCCTGACATCAAACACATCTGGGCTCAGATTTTGCCATTTCCTTCTTGCGGGATCCCAAACTGGCTTCCCCAACCTAAAGCTCAGTTTACTCCTTGAAAAATCGGTTGGAATTCGTTTGCAGCTGGGTGGCCCCGTGGCTCCCAGCTCTTTGGGAGGCTGAGACAGAAGGATCGCTTGAGCCCAGGAGTTCAAGACCAGCCTGGGCAACAAAGTGAGATGTCTCCTCTACAAAAATAAAAATAAAAAATTAGCTGGGTGCCGTGTCATGCACCTGCAGTCCAGCTGAAGGAGGCTGAAGAGGGAAGATACTTCGAGCCCAGGAGTCTGAGGCTGCAGTGAGCTGTGATCACCTTACTACACTTCAGCCTGGCCAACAGAGTGAGATCCTGCCTCAAGAAAAGAAGAGAGAGAGATAGAGATAGATAGAGAAAGACAGAGAGAGAGAGAGAGAGAGAGAGAGAGAGAGAGAGAGAGAAATGGAGACACGGAGAAAGGAGGAAAGGAAAGGAGGGAGGGAGGGAGAAAAAGAAAGAAACGAAGGGAAAGAAAGAAGAAGGAAGAAAGGAAGGAAGGAAAGAAAGATTATACTCAGGGCGCTGAAATTCTATTTCCCAATTGCTTATTCCGGGCCAGGCGCCAGCCTCACTGCCTCCCCACGAATGAAAGAATTTATTTAATCTTCAGGACAACCCCGTCTTACAGAGGCCTGATGGCTGAGACAAGAGAGGTTGAGGAACTTGCCCTGGGTCACACAGCAGCAAGTGTTGGGGGCCAGGCTTGGAATCCAGATGGACTGCCGCTCCCCACAGGAGGCGACGCGCATGCCACCCCACGGGAAGTAAAATTATAATTTTAAATTTGCTATAAAGGCCAGTGTCTTTTAGAGTTGGACACGGTTTTGGAATGCCACCTCTGCGCCCTAGCTCAGAGACTCTGGGTAAGTCACTCTCCTGTCTTCATAAGCAGAAGCCTCCGGCCTCCCTCCGCTGCGCTGTGCTTAAGGCAATGAGGTCATGCTTGGAAAAAGTCCCTCACGCGGCCAGGGCTTGGGACAGAGGGGCTGTTGTTTGTGACCCACGTGAAACAGGCAGAAAGGGGGGCGCAAGCGTGGAGCCCCCGGTGGCCTGGGCCGCGCGCCCTCCCCGCGCCTCCACCCATCCCGCTCTTTCCCGCTCGGAGGGCCCCGACTGCAGCCGCAGGGTGGGGGGCACCGCGGGCTCACCTCTGTCCCCGCTCAGCCCCGGCCCCGCCAGGACGGAAATAGCAACCCGCTCCAGATCCGGCCCGACTGGTTCTCAGAGCCGTGGGAGCGGCGGGGAGGCGGGTGGGGCGAGGCGGGGTCGGGGGACCCCAGATGGGGAGACCCCCTGCGCGGCGTGGGCTTCAACGCGCGCTCTCTGAGGCCACGTGGCTGCGGCGGGGAATCTAGCGGCCGCGCCTCGGGGCTTTCTGCCCGTCTTCCCTCCCGGCCGGACCCGGGACCCCGGTCCCCCATCGCGCCTCACCTCGCGGTCCTCCCAGAGCGGGCCAGGCGCGCGCTCACCACTCCGGCTCCAGCCCGGACCCTGGTTCCCCGGCTCCGAGTTCGCCTCCGCCTCCTAATCCTCGGCCCGCGCCTTCTTCCTTGTTCCTCGGGGCGGGATCTCACCTGGCAAAGAAAGTGTCATGCGGATCCCGGAGGGAATCCGGGAGCCAGGCACCCGGTCCACACAGCCACTGCCTCCTTCGCCCGCAGGGCCCAGGCGTCCGAGCGCTTAGGTCTCTTAATGCCACCCCAGGCCCGAAAGTCGGGGGCCCTCAGCTCCTCTCCCCTTAGATCCAGGGGTCCAGGCCTCCAGATCCCTCCTCCCTTAGACCCAGGAGTCCAGGCCCCAACCCCTCTTCCTTCAGACCCCGGAGCTCAGGCCCCCAGTCCCTCCTCTCTCAGACCCCGGAGTCCAGGCCCCCAGCCTCTCCCCACTCTGACCCAGGAGTTCAGGCCCCAGCCCCTCCTCCCTCGGACCCTGGAGTCCAGGCCCCACCCCTGGAAAGCGCTGGCATAGGCCCCCTTTACCTGCACCGGGAGCTAAAGTGTCAGCCCCTCTCCGGGGCCATGATGGGAGCCCAGGCAGAAGCGGAATCACCACCCAGTCCCCAGGCAGAGAGGGTTTTGGCACAGGGCCCTCCAAGCCTTTCTTATCCCCCAAAAGTTTGCCTCTAGGATTTAAAGGGCTAGAAAGCAGCGGTGGAAACGCTGAGTCCCCTCCGGGCTGAGTGTGGGGGCAGGAGGAGGCCGGACTGAGTGTGCAGGGGAACGGGCAGAGGGGGTGGGGCTGGACCGGGCGCGCCCCCAGCCTGGCCCCTCCCCTGCCCAGCTTGGAATTTCCTGAAACTGGGGAAGTCTGGCTGTTTAGAAGAGTAATTTCTTCCAGATTGCAGCTGTATGGAGACAGACAGAGGGAGAGAGAGAGAGAGAGAGAGAGAGAGAGAGAGAGAGAGTGAGAGAAGGGAGAAGGTCAGACTGAAAGCTGAGAGCGGGTGAGGAGGTTGGAGGGTGTCTGAGGGGCAGCTCTGGCTTTGCTGCGGGTCCCCTAGATGAACTTCCCTGCCTGCAGCCACTCCGACATAGAAAGGTCATATTTCATTCTAAGCACCAGTTTCCATTGGTCACAAGAGAGTGGGGTTTGGGTGTTAGGACAATTCCTGAGGGCCAGTGTGGGTGGGGCCTGACATGGGGACAGAGCAGAGTCCCGAGGCAGGATGCAGCTCCGTGGGAGGGAGGTGGAGGCCCAGGTGGGAGGCTGGGCCAGTGGGAGGGAGGTGGAGGCCCAGGTGGGAGGCTGGGTCAGTGGGAGGGAGGTGGAGGCCCAGGTGGGAGGCTGGGTCAGTGGGAGGCTGGGTCATTGGGAGGGAGGTGGAGGCCCAGATGGGAGGCTGGGTCAGAGTCAGAGGGAAGAGGGAAAGGGAAGCCCAGGTAGGAGGCCCATGTGGGAGGCTGCGTTGGTGGTTTTCCCCCTAGCTGGGGCTGGGGTTGTAGCACTGGTGAGAGGATAGTCGATTTTTCATAACGAGGAAGCACCCTCGAGCTGGGTCTTGAAGGGGGAGTGGGAGTTTATGGAGCCCAGGAGAGGAGGATGGATATCAGAGCAGGGTGGGGAAGCCAGGTGGGGCGGAGGGCTCTCACACGCTGGGCGGAGTTTGATTTGCCTGGAGAAGTCGGCTTGAAAGCCACTGGGAGCCTCACTTTGTTCCGCAGATGTCGGGGAACCGCAGAGGAATGGCAGGGAGAAGTCCACGTGTTAGAGAGTTCCCTCTGGGGTCACTGCAGGGCGTGGACTGAAGAAGGCCCGGACTCAGCACCCACCGCGAATTTAAGGGGGGAGGGGGCAGTGGTCACCAGAAAATCAGTAATCAAATATATATATATATATATTTATATACAGTATTTATAATATATATTTATATGTAATTATAATATATATTTATGTATAATATATAGATAATATTTATATATAATACTTTTGTTATGTATTTTTTATTGCTGTAAAATTCACATGACATAAAATTCACCATCTTGAGGTGTGCAGTTCAGTGACATTTAGTACCTTCCCAATGGAACGTACCTAGTTGGTACATTGGCAATTATGCAGCCATCACCCCTATCAAGTTCCCACACATTTTCATCACCCCAAAAGAAAACCCCACTCAGCAGTTGCTGGCCATGGCCTGCTGTCTGCAGCCCTGGAAACCGCTCCCCCTTTTTCTGGTTCTGTGGATTGCCTCTTCCCGACACTTCGGGTGAATGGAACCATACACCCATCACACAGCCCCACGTCTCTGGCTTGCTTCATATAAGGCGGTTCATCATGTGAAGCAAGTGCCCGTGCTGCATCACACGTACTGTTTACATACGTGAAGACATACACAGAATGGCCAGGCGCAGTGGCTCACGCCTGTAATCCCAGCACTTTGGGAGGCTGAGGCGGGCAAGATCACCTGAGGTCAGGAGCTCAAGACCAGCCTGGCCAACATGGCGAAACCCCAACTGTACTAAAAAATAAAATAAAATAAAATAAAAAAACAACCACGTGTGGTGGCATTCGCCCATAGTCCCAGCTACTCGGGAGGCTGAGGCAGGAGAATCGCTTGAATGCAGGAGGCAGAGGTTACGGTGAGCCGAGATCGGGCCACTGCATTCTAGCCTGGACCACTGAGCAAGACTCCATCTCAAAAAAAAAAAAAAAAAAAAAAGAAAGAAAGATAAAAGATATTTATGTAAGAGATCTGTTTCACAAATTGAATTGTGTGAGCCTGGAATCCACAGGGTTGGAGGGAAACTGAGGCGGGGCCGGGGCCGCAATCTGGAGTCAGAATTTCTTTTTCCTCAGGGAAACCTCTGTTTTGCACTTAATGCCTTTCAACGCACGGCTTGGATGAGACCCACCAATGTGACCAGGCTGACCTTCAGTGAGAGCACCTGGATTGCAGATGTTACCCACATCTCCAGGGCCGCCACAGCACCCAGACTGGAGTTGGATGGAATAACTTTGGATTAGAGCCCAGCTGAGTGGACACATACTAACCTTCACACCAGCATCATCTCCCCTACGTAAGATTCCTAATCTTATTGCACCTGCTGAGTTCTTTTAACATATTCACGGGTCCCAGAGATTTGTCCATGGACATCTCTCATGGGTGGGGGTTGGGTGGGGGTATTCTGCCTGCCACAGTACCCTTTAGGGAGGGTGGTTGGGGCCTAAGTAGGGCCAGCTTCCTGGGTTGTCCAGTGCCCCATGCTCGGAAGAGCCCGCACTTTTCTTTTTTCTTTCTTTTTTTTTTTTTTGAGACGGAGTCTCGCTCTGTTGCCCAGGCTGGAGTACAGTGATGCAATATTGGCTTACTGCAACCTCCGACTCCCAGGTTCAATTGATTCTCCTGCGTCAGCCTCCCCAGTAGCTGGGACTACAGGTGTGTGCCACCACACCTGGCTATTTTTGTATTTTTTTTTTTAGTAGAGTTGGGGTTTCTTTTATTTTTATTATTTTATTTTTTTCTTAAGATGGGGTTTCACCATCATGGCCAGGCTGGTCTTGAACTCCTGACCTCAGGTGATCCACCCACCTCGGCCTCCCAGAGTGCTAGGATTACAAGCGTGAGCCACCACGCCTGGCCCTAGAGTTGGGGTTTCACCATGTTGACCAGGCTGGTCTCGAACTCCTGACCTCAGGTGATCCACCTGCCTCGGTCTCCCAAAGTGCTGGGATTGCAGGCGTGAGCCACCGCACCCAGCGTTTTTATTTTTGAGGAGTCTATGTGGCTCAGGCTGGAGGACCAATGGTGAGAATGCAGCTCGGTATACTTCTGCCTCCCAGGTTCAAGCGATTCTCCTGTCTGAACGTTCTGAGTAGCTGGGATTACAGGCATGTGCCACCATGCCCGGCTAATTTTTGTATATTTAGTAGAGTTGGAGTTTTTCCCCATGTTGGCCAGGCTGGTCTTGAACTCCTGACCTCAGGTGATCTGCCGCCTTGGCCTTCCAAAGTGTTGGGATAACAGGCGTGAGCCACCGCGCCTGGCACCACGCTTCTTTTAATGTTCAGCTGTCATCAATTTGAAATTCCTTGCGTTTTGAAGAAGGGACTCTATGTTCTCATTTGCAATGGATCCCACCAATTATGTGGCTGGTTCTGGATGGCACAGTGGGAAGGGCAGAGGTCTGGGAGAAAGCAGCTGAGAACAGCAGCAATGGAGAGATAAAAGGGACAGGACCGCTGGGTGACGTCCTGGCAGCGGCAGCCTGGGAAAGCAAAGAGGGAGGGAGAGCGAGATGGGTCCCAGGAGCCTGGGCTGGGAGATGCACCGTCCCCTTCCTTGTGGCCTGAAAAGCAGGCCAAGTATGTTTTAAGAAAAAAAGAGAGAGAGAGAGAGAGAGAGAGAGAGAGAGAGAGAGAGAGAGAGAGAGACCTGGGTGACAGCGGACCCAGGCTGTGCAGGGCAGGCCAGATTGCAGAGGAGAGGCCAGAGAGACAGAGAGGAGGCCAGAAGGGCGCAGAGGCCAGCAGATAACCCAGGGGGACCCCTGTGAAGGGAAAGGGAGAGAGAGAAGGTATCTAGAAGAACAGAGAAGGCCAAAGAAAGGTACTTGGTGTTCTGGTTCATCTGGATACCTTCCCTACTTTTTTTCTTTTTTAGGCAGAATCTCGCTTTATCACCCAGGCTGGAGTGCAGAGGCGTGATCTCAGCTCACTGCAACCTCTGCCTCCCGGGTTCAAGCAATTTTCCCGCCTCAGCCTCCTGAGTAGCTGGAACTACAGTGTGTGCCAGCAAACCCAGCTAATTTTTTGTAGGGTGGGGGTTTTGCCATGTTGCCCATGCTGGTCTTGAACTCGTGGACTCGAGCAATCCGCCCACCTCAGTCCCCCAAAGTGCTGGGATTACAGACCTGAGCCACTGTGCCCAGCTGACTCCTGAGACTGCACCACCATTCCTTAGCTGATTTCAGTGACTCTGCCTACTGCTAGCGACCCTACATAATTATACACCAGTTCCTAGAACCTGTCTGTCATTATTCAGACTCTCATAGAAATCTAGTCACAACTACCTGAGCAATTTGTTCTCTTAAGTCTCGTGCTACTTAGGGGTCTCTAATATTTCCCTTTTAAATGTTTTGGCCTCTCTTCTGAGTACCAGGGACATGGATGGAACACTGATCCTATTTTATCCTTAAAGAGCTTACAGGATATTGAGAGAAGTTTCACCCAGTGAACTGACAGGGTCAGCGCAGAGTGCAGTGGGAGCACAGAGGAAGAGTGGCAGCCCCATCATGTCCAGCTGTGTAGTACCGAGTTCAGCTCCACCATACCCCTACCCAGGCGGCGCTGAAGGCATTACGAAGCAGACACCCACATAGAACAGCAAAGTGGGACTCTCGGGGGCCAAGAGCCTTCCCAGCTGAGAGCCTCAGGGGCTGACAGCATCTCGGGCTGAGGGCATGGAGGGGCTCTGACCCACGTAGTCGTTCTCTCCGAACAGGTGATGATCATGAGCAAACAGGTGTTCTGTGTCTTCTCATAGAGCCAAGATAAACTAGGCAGGCAGCTGGTGCCTGTTACCACTGATCAAGGACAAAGCAGAAAGTACTCTCCACGAGGGAGCCACGGGGGCAGGTCACCTAGCCCTGCTTCAAGAATTGTGTTCACCGGTGTATGATACACATCTCGTGTTTTGCTGTATTAGATGGGGGGGCTGGGGGGGGGGTGGCTAGATTCTTCTTGCCATCGTTCTTCTCAGCAAACAATATAGTCCGTCATACTCTCGGCATTTTCAACCGTGTA